TCTCTCTCTTTCTCTCTCTCTCTCTCTCTCTCTCTCTCTCTCTCTCTCTGTGTGTGTGTGTGTGTGTGTGTATGTGTGTCTGTATGCACTCTCATTCAAGCACGTGCATATCTATGAATGTGGAATGTGTATGTTTGTATGTATGTGCTGTGCTTGTGCATGTGTTCTCAGAGGCCGGGGGAAGGCACTGAGTGGTCTGATGTATGACTGTTCACATTATTCCTTTGGGACAGTCTCTGGCTGAACACAGAGCGAGGATGACAGCAAAAAGCCCCACAGCTCACCTGTTCCCATCCCCTCCAGCAATGGAATTATGGGAACACCTGGCTTTTTATGTGGCATCTGAGATCTAACTCAGGTCCTTATTCTTGCACAGCAAGTGCTCTCTCCCACTGAGATAACTTTCTAGCCCCTAGATATATTTCTTCTTTTTGCTTTTTTGAGACAGGGTTACCCTGTGTAGCGCTGGCTGTCCTGGAACTTGCTCTGAAGACTAGGCTGGCCTTGAACTCAGAGATCCACCTGCCTCTGCCTCCCAAGTGCTGGGATTAAAGGTGTACCATACAATCAAATATCCCAATACAATCAGAAGTTCTGAGTTATCTAAATATCTGAGAAATGATTTATGAAATGCTCATGCATTTGAAGAGCATAGAACAATTGACTATTTTTCTGTTATCTATTTCCACCAATGACTAAAAAGAGCAAAGTCTTATGGCCACATTGGGGTGTGGTTGTGTCTGCTATAATCAGTACTAGGAAGGATGAGGCAAGGGTGTAGCACAACTAACAAAAACCCAGAGACAGATATTAGGGGTGAAAGCTGAAAGTTCAGAGAAGCAGTGCAGCCAGCCACTAGAGAGTTCTTACCTCTGCTAAGGCTCAGACCAAAAGGGGCCATCCTGTCCTCAATGTGACTGCAGACTGCCTGAGCTCCTGCCTTAAATTCCTCTAGTGCTGGTATTAAAGGTACCGGGCTTCTCAGACTAACTAGTGTGGACTACTGGGATTAAAGGTGTGTGCCACCACAGCTTAACCTGTATGGCTAACTAGTATGACTAGCTTTCATTCTGATCTTCAGGCAAGCCTTATTTGTTATATCATAAATAAAATATCACCACACAGCAGGGACATGAACTCTAAGCAGCCTCGGTAAACAGTAAATTCTAGGACACAGGTTGCCTTGTCTGAAAAAGAATACTCTTAAATAGTGAAGAGTTTTTAATTTATAACCTTTATAAATATTTATTGATTTTTTATAATTTTTATTCAGAGGACAATGTTTCAATTTGATCGGTTCCACATTTGAAGTGATCACTCAATGTTTCATAAGCTGTGTTACAATTATAGTGATAAAATAATATTCAGGAATTTGCAGCTAATTCTGTTAAAAAAACAAGCTATGGAGATGTTGAGTCAAACAAGAGAACAAGACTTTAAAAGATTAAAAAATTAGGGGCTGGAAAGATGGCTGAGAGTTTGGGAGCACTGGCTGCTCTTTCAGAGGTCCTGAGTTCAAGTCCCAGCACCGACATGGTGACTCACAACCATCTATGGTAAGACCTGGTGCCCTCTTCTGGTGTGCAGGCAGAAACAATGTTTACATAATAAATAAATAAAATTTTAAAAAAGATTAAAAATGAATCATCAAGTGGTGATCAGTAGTGACGATGACAGAATTGCACTAAAATGTCTTTCCTAGTGTTTGGCCTAATTTTACTCCCATTCACAGCAATGTCTTCAGGCAGATATTGGAGCCTCAATTTTAGAGATTAAATTTAGGCTTTGAGGTTTTAGGTGCTTTGTACAACATCAAATAGACGGTCATTTTCAGATTAAGTGACAGCGAGCATACTGCTCCTCCTAGATCACATGGCCCCAGATCACACGATGATTCATGCAGAATGACAAAGATACTAGAAGGATTAGTGGCATAGCCAAGAGGAAAATGAACTTGTCTCAGAACTAGATATACAAAAACAAATGAGTAATGTAACTGCAAGCAATATGAAGACTGCACATGGGGCTTCTTCAGATACATTTGTATGTGTCTGACAGGGAAGTTACCTGTAAACTGAGTCACTGTGAACTTGAAATTACCTTTTCGCTGATTTATGTTTAAAATAAAAGGCATACTGCATTTAAACAAGCAGACACAGTTGGGGGCTGGACAGATCACTTAGTGATTAAGAACACTGGCTGCTCTTCCAGACGACCTGGGTTCAACTCCCAGCACACACATGGTAGCTCATGATTATCTGTGGCTCTAGTTCCAGGGCTTCTGACACCCTCACACAGACATGCATTCAGGCAAAACACCAATGCACATAAAATAAATATAAATAAATCTTCAAAAACAAATTAAAATGTAGACACAATTAAATTATAATTGAAATAGGAATTTACCTCTAAAATATCTGAATAAAAAATAAATATTTCTGATACACTGCAGATATGAAAATCCAAAAGGTTATACAGACAGAGTTAAAATACTTTCTGGCAATTCTGGAGGTAGTCAGTGGATGTTTTATGATCTGTATTACAAGAACACAATTGTGCTTCATTCTGCAGGAAGGAATCTACACACACACACACACACACACACACACACACACACACACTGCTAATGGTTTGTTCTGAGTTAACTTTCAACCTAGACCATCCAGAGGTTCAGGAAGAATTGCTAAGTCTAGGTGGCCTTGATGTTTACCAGCTCTCCCGGTGCTGCAGAGAGGAGACAAGCACTGACAAATCTCAGAGACAAGACTGACCACCTGACATATGGAGGGCTCAGGAGAGGATGGTCCATCTTCTCGCTGCTGGGGGCCCTCCTCTTGCCCCCAGCCAGTTCTGCTGGGAAAGTGGGTAATGAAAACAGCAGCTCCGTTGGCACCGTGAACCCTCGTGAACCCTCATTCAGGCTTGACCGTCTTAAACACTGCTTGGCTATTGCTCATTTCTCACACACACAGCAGCCATAATCAAGAGAAGGACAGGTGATTCTGCCTTGCATCCTACCCTCGCCTGTATCTTTTATCGTTAGTTCATTTCCTAGGTGTTCTCTGATTTCTTGCCCCCACCCCAAGCTAAAAATATTGCTGTTACTAGTAAGGATATATTAAATTCTTTCCAAGCTCAAATTAGAAAGCTTGGACACAAATTTTTGGTTCTGACCTTTATTATCTCCTTAATCTTGGGCAAGGGTGGTAGTTTCATCTTCCATGAAATGGTGATAAGGTTATTTTGTAAGAAAAGGAAATAATACCAGAAAAGGACTGAGGATGTAGTAAGCAAGTGAGCACTGGCAATCACGGATCATTGTTAGCATTATATTAACACTTTTTGAACTCAGCAGTGAAGACTCCAGAATGGAAGAAATCTCCTCGTGATCATTTGCTGTAGATTAATAGACTGTTTGGGTGTGCCACCACCACCTGGGAAGACCCAGAATTTTAAACCATAAAATTCTTTAAATGGAAAAGGGAGACATGAATAAATGGTAAGAACTCAAAAATAAATAAATAAATAGATAAATAAATAAATAAATAAATAAAAGACTGTTTGCACTTACCTGATACTTTTCAGTGTCACCACATTCAAGAACTGGAAATTCTGGGCACGTGTATTTCTTTTTAGAAACGGCAAATATTAACTCACTGACAATGTGGAGAATCCAGTTTGAACCTGAAAGAAAAGACAGAAAATAGAAACTCATTAAGGCGTTTTGATAACAAAGATGAATCGATTTAGCACACAGATGAGGAAATGTTAAATTTTCAATTATCCTATGATGTTTGCTCCTTTAGAGTTTGAAAGAACTCTGGTTGTGGAAACAGGTATTTTTTGGAGAAAAGACTGTTTATGTTTATTAACATGGAATTAATTTTTTTGCTTGTTTTGTGTTTTTGGCTTTTTGAGACAGTGTGTGTGTGTGTGTGTGTGTGTGTGTGTGTGTGTGTGTGTAAAAGCTCTGGCTACCCTGGAACACACTGTAGACCAGGCTGGCTTCGAATTCACATGCTCCATGAGCCATGACCTCTTTCTCCAGAATACTGGGTGTTTTGTTGTTGTTTTTTTATGAAGCTGTTTCAGTTGTTGACTTTATAACCTTTATAACCTGTGGCACTGTCTTGCCCCACCCCCCAATGATTTCCATGTGGAGCTGAGCCTCCTTCTTCCCACCTTCACCTTGCACCCTCCCTACCTAATTAATATGGAATGCATTCATAGGAAAAGATGCTCTTTACCACACTTTGGATAGGAGGCGATCACGATGTCGTCACTTCTGGCTTCAAAGGCATCCAAAGCTTGGAAAGTTTCTGAGGTGCACATGGTAACTGGGTAAGGAATTCCTTGGTAGGTGAAAAATAAATGGGAAAGCGCTGTTTCTTTTGATTTTTCTAAAGCATCATGAATGTACTCAATAAACTTGGACTTGTCAGCCATGCTGGTCCCTCTAATGAATCCTCCTGGCGTCAGTCACCCAGGAGCAACGATTGTCTTTTATAGTCTTTCCCAGTCACATGGAAAACAATCATCCAATTCTCAATCATCATTCCTTCATCCTTTTGTGTATCCCGCCCTGACAAAAGGCGACTCACAGGTGCGGACAGGCTTGGGATCAGGGACGGTTATCCCAGAGGCTGATTAAGTTACCACCTAGGCATCCCACCCAATGAAAAGAAGAACAAAATCTCCTAACAGAAGATTAATAGACATTAAATATCTAACGTAGATATTTAATAAAGCTAGACGTTCAATTTTCCTATGAGAAAATCTCAGAATGAGCCTTCTGGTTTCCCTTTGATTGGCAGTTTTCCAAACTATACACTTAGTGTGACAATGAAATCACGGGGTAATTTAGTTAAGCGGTTAAAGCTCCAGTTTATCCAAATCCTGGATATTGGGCTCAGTTTTGTTATTTATTAAGCAAAATGATTTGTAAATCTCGTCTTTGCCCATTTAGCAATACAGCTATGCTTCATGAAAGGGAGAGCTTTGTGAGGGGAGAACTCATTGAAAAGCTATCTCTTGGTACATCTCCTTTTGATGGGTTTGCTGTACATCTTCGGACAGGGTCAGATGCAACAAGCAGGAGCCATCTGGGACCTCGTTCATTTCTGGGAAGACACAAGCATAACCTCACACCGATGCAGGAAGAACATCTGGCCCTTTCCACTCCAACAAGGCCACACCTCCTAATAGTGCCACTCCCTATGGGGACCAATTACATTCAAGCCACCACAACCTGGTTGATACATAATTCTAGTAGGTGATGATAAGGATAGAAGGATAAACAATTGGTAAGGAAGTAAGGGATTGATTCCATGAGATACTGCTTTAGCAGTAGCATTATTTCATGAACTGATAACTCGATCCACCTCAGGTGCTATGTTTCTTTTTTTCTTTTTTCTTTTTATTTATTTTTATATATTTGAATTACAAACAAGATTGAATTACATGACGATCCCAGTTCCCTTCTCCTTCCTTCCTCCTCTACCTCCTCCCAACTAAAATCCTATCTGTCATATGTCCTTTCTTCTAATCTACACCTGACTCAAAATTTCTGCTTCCTCTTCCTTTTCTTCCCTTCTCATTCTCGTAGCTCCCTCCCCCCTCTTCCCATGTTCTCAATTTGCTCAGGGGATGGTGACCCTTTCCCCTTCTCCAAGGGATAAAGTTTGTCTCTTTTAGGGTTTTCTTTGTTTCCTAGTATCTCTGGCAGTGTAGATTGTAGGATGGTAATTCCTTACTCTATGTCTAAAATCCACATATGAGTGATTACATATCATGTTTGTCTTTTTGTGATTGGGTTACTTCGCTCAGAATGGTTTCTTTGAGTTCCATCCATTTTCCTGCAAATTTCAAGATTCCATTGTTTTTTTTCTGCTGAGTAGTACTCCATTGTGTAAATGCACCACATTTTCTCTACCCATTCTTCGGTTGAGGGGCATCTGGGCTGCTTCCAGTTTCTGGCTATTACCAATAATGCTGCTATGAACATGGTTGAACAGATGTCCTTGTTGTATGAATGTGCTTCTTTTGGGTATATGCCTAAGAGTGGGATTGCTGGATCTTGTGGTAGACTGATTCCCATTTTTCTTGAGGAGTCGACATACTGATTTCCAAAGTGACTGTACAAGTTGGCACTCCCACCAGCAGTGGAGAAGTGTTTCTCTTTCTCCGCATCCTCTCCAGCATAAACTGTCATTGGTGTTTTTGATTTTAGCCATTCTGACAGGAGTAAGATGGTATCTCAGAGGTGCTATGTTTCTTATAGAGTTTAACCAGAAAGCAACTTAAAGAGCAGAGCCAAGTCCTTAGTAGTAATAGGCAGGTAAGGAGGTACTCAATTGACATGGACCAAAATTGCTTGTAAGTAATTGAGGGCTCATTGTTTGGGAAGTTTTAAACTGAGAGGAGGATGGCAAATTCATTGTTGAGTAATAATATATCTAAACAATTATAAGGTGATTTTGTATTTTATACAGAGTTATATATTTAAATTTTGCCTTCTTAGTTTATTTTCTGTGAAAGTTAAGCATTCACTTAAGTATTGATTAGATAAGCAGGGGAAGAGAGTGTCATTCATTTTACAAGGGCAAAGAACCAACCACAGAGAATTCCAAGCTAGGAATGGGGATCTGGATTTGACTACGTTTCTGAGTATTACTTTTAGAAGTTTGTGAAAAGGTAAAATCAGAATTATGAGTATCTCAATGTTTTTACATTTTTCATATGTGATTACCACTTGAAGTCATTATATTACATAATAATAGGGTGATTTTTCACCATGGTTGGGTCTGTGTCTCTCAAGAAAGAAAAGAGGAACTGGCTGAATGCCCTGCCCATCTGCTCAGTGGGATTAGCTCTCACATTACAGTCTTTGTTTGCCTTGGGTTAGAATTTAAGACTGATTTAAACATGGTCTAGTTTGCTTGTTTCTTGGTAAATAAACATCTAGGAGGACAATGGTCCAGATCCTACTGACACTGATACTTATGATTAGAGGAGGATTTGAGTGCCTAGGAGAGGGTGCGTGGAAGTGTGGGGCACAGGCAGGCAAAGCAAGCTAATTCTTAGTTTCTCCAGGCTCAGGTTAACTTGGAAATTCTACATTCTCCACTCTGAATTTCCAGGCATGTGTTATGAAGGGGAGCAGCATATGTAATTGCAGACTAAATTGTGTTGTATGGCTGTCACTGTCACGAGATAGAGGTGTGAATGTCTCCTTGTGTATTTCACATTATGTGAAATGCCACCTTCACATTCAACTTCTTGCGTCTCATCAGTGTCAGGGGTAGTTGGCCACAGACACTGTGGCCTGTCTCTTGTACCTGGACTCAGGTTCTGGGACATAGATTAGACACACTGATGGCGTATTTAAAGGTCCCTCTTGTTTTCCAGAATCACCCCCTGTTGCTTTCAATTTTTCTTTTTTGTCTTCATCTATGCTATCCACAAGTGAGAAAAATAGAAAAAGAATGGGTTGTTGAAATAGAGGGAAGAAGTAGAGCAGGGAAGGAATAGCATGGGGCTCTTGCAAGCAGGCTAGCCTCATGGCTGTCTTTAAAAGCAGGTAACTAGGACTCTCCTCTTGTTCTTTCTAGGACTAGGGCTTCTTTGTGGTGAAGAATTTTTAGTTTTGCTCCTGTTGTTTCTTTACTGAACCTTAACTTGAGACTCTCAATGTCCCTTTTCTATTTGCAGAGTTCACTAAGAATTGGCTCATCTTTTAGAGAAGTGTTATCTAACCTTTTAGCATCTCTTGGTCACACTGAACAAATAATTGTTGTAGGCCACACAAATAGACAAACACTAATGAAAGTTAGTGAGCTTAAAAAAATAACTGGCATGTATAATTTTCATGATATTGGTCACCATAGATAAATCAAAATATTCTCATAAAATGACTGTAATTATGCATCACCCTGTTCAGAGAGTAGCAAGGATTAGGGCAGGGGGCTTACAGCTGGCAGACTGGGCTGACTAATGTGATCTGAGGGCAAACGAATCAGTTCATACACTATCATTCTTCTTGTGGCTCTTTATTCTTCATAAAATGTTCCTCCCAAAAGTTCTCTCTCAAGAGCTTTCTTTAAGATTTCTCCTCAAAAGGTCTTCTTAAAAAATTCTCCTAGAGTTCTTTTTAAAAATTCTCCTAGATCTCATAAGGTTTCCAGTTTATAAATCCACAGACACAGTTAACAGTTCTCTGACAACAGCGAGATACTGGGCAAGCATATCTCTCAGAGCCAGGAAGGCAGATAAGGTCTAACCAAAAGAGGGATATCTTATGTCTCAGAGAGGAGATGTGACTTGTAAAACACCCAGGCAAACTTAGGTCTCAGAGGGGATGTGACAAACATGCCATTAACTGATTAAAAGGGGCTTCTCAGTGCTGTATCAAAGAGAAAAACTAAGGCTATGTAGTGTGAAATCCAGAGGCCGCAGGTCTTACTGTGACACCCTGGTAAGAAGGAATTTCCTTTCTCTGGGGCCTTTTTGAGAATATAAAGCACCCAGTATATTTTCTTCAAAAGAAGTTAATTCTGGTGGGTTAGTACCTAGAATATTAATTGCTACTTTTGTAATAAATGATAAATGCTTTCAGCAAGACAGCCTCAAAATTGTTCAGTAAGTATCATTTGGGATCACCAATTAAGAGAAAGAACATATCTAAGTAATAAAATGTCATTGATTTATTATTATTATTATTATTATTATTATTATTATTATTATTATTATTATTAAAGAGGGCAACACAGAATGGTCAGAGAGTGGGCTACCTGATGGCTGCATTTGAGGTCTTACTTCTTCCATTTGTGATTGGATGGAAGTGGTTACCATTCTCAGTATGTTCTTAAAGGGCTTATCAGGTGTTTCACAATTTCACTTAGTTGTTTCATTTTTGAAAACAGTTGCTCACAATTGTGTAGATGTCATAAAAGCAAAGAGAAGAGTGCAGCATGACTATGAAGCAAGAGATATATGTTTCTTGGAAGACAAGACCTGTAGAAATCTAGGAAAGAAACACAATCAAATTTTTCCTTTAGTTGGATGGCAGGCTGCAGCTCTATGCAGTCTGTTTGCAACTGGCAGGCAACATATCTACATTGACTGAAAACAGAGTTGGAAATTTACCAGAATATTTTTCAGGGAATCTTGAAATCTGCTTCACATTCTTTAATTTTATCTATTTATTTTATGTGTTTGAATGTTTTGACTGCATGCATGCATGTGCACCACGTGTATGCCTGGTGCCCTTGGAGGTCAGAAGATAGCACAGGACTACCTGGAAATAGAATTACAGATGATTATGAGCTACCACGTGGGTGCTGGGAATTGAACCCAGGTTCTCCAAAAGAAAACCGAGTACTCTAAACAGCTTAGCCTTCTCTCCAGGCTCTCATATTCTTCTATGAAATAAATAAGCTACATAGTTTTGCTGTTGACAAGAGCCATGTTAGTGAATGTGTCCAAAGGCACAAAATTGTTTGCCTTAATTTGAGAGTGCCATAATTTCACTTCCATTTGAAATTTTGTTATGATTTGAAACATTGTATTAATAAGTTGGGTTTCCCTTTAAGGACAATATAACCCATTTAAATGATGGGTTACATTTTCTAAGAATGCTAAATCTGTATGGTAGTTTTCATAATCAATGTCTGGCATAAATTCAGTTCTGAGACCATAAACAACTTGATAACATGTCTCAAATGATAAAATTCCTTTTTATCATTTGGTTTTAACTTAGTCATCTTATTTCTGGAAAGTCAATGATGTTGCTCTAGTCAGCATTAATGTTTTCAAAGAATTTCCAGGATTGCTAAAGATTTTAATTGCCCATCCTTTATAGAACCCATGGTTTTGATGATTTGAGTAACATACACTTGTAATGCTTTTGTGCATAAAATTTCTTGATGTGCTGCGTAATGATACTTCATTAAATGTGAGTTCAGAGCGGCATTTGGATCATCTATTAACATTTACAAATGTGTCTCTCTACCTACCAACTAATGGGGCATCATCTGTAACAGATGTTGATAGTGGACAAAGAAAATTGTTTAGCATGCTTTACTGCTTCATATAAGTTTCTTGATATAGTTGTGCCTCTTTTTTTGGCTTTTTGAGACAGGGTTTCTCTGTGTAGCTTTGGAGCCAGCCTATCCTGGCACTCGCTCTGGAGACCAGGCTGGCCTCGAACTCACGGAGGTCCGCCTGCCTCTGCCTCCCGAGTGCTAGGATTAAAGGCGTGCGACACCTTTTAAGGACACTAAATAAACTAATTTTGAGTGACATTGCATTTCTCATAAAGGCCACTAATAAAAATGAAAATTGGCAGGAAAACAGAAAGAAGGGTTGGGTTCTTTGACATTTCAGATGTCTATGTAGAGAGAAGTGAGAGCTGACTAAGGCACTGTGGGTGAGGCATGGCATGTCTCTAAGGAATGGGGTACTTAGTAATTAAGAATACTTAATCTAGACTGGAGAAATGGCTCAAAGGTTAGGAACATTGGCTGTTCTTCCAGAGGTCCTGAGTTCAATTCCTGACAACCACATGGTGGCTCACAACCATCTATGAGATCTGGTGCCCTTTTCTGGCATGTATAGGCATACATGCAGGGAGAACACTGTATACATAATAAATAAATCTTGAAAAAGGAATTTTTACCCATCTTCTAACCACACACACACACACACACACACACACACACACACACACACACACACACACACCTCTCATTTTAAAGGGAATAAGAGATAATTTATTCTAGAGCAATGCTGAGTGCCTGGGAACACAGATTTAGGTTATTCCAAATCCTATGTTCTTACGTGGAAGCAGTTTCATAGTTTTACAGAGAAAAGTCATGATTCAAGGCAAGTTTAAAATATGTTGATGGACAAACTGAAGAGGTGGTTACAACAAGAGGAGGGAAACTTTTCTGCAGGTCCAAGATGCTATCTGATGACATTCTTTGGTTTGGGCTCGTGGAAGCCAGAGGTTGGCTAAGTTAATAGAGTCAAAAGATCTCAGACAAAGAGGTGGACAAGAAGCTAAAGCTAGCTCAAGATAAGGTAATTAACCTTTGGAGAGATAGCTTACCAACCTCTGCATCACAACTTCTTTCCAGGAACTTTAAAAAATACTTATTTTATGTACATTGGTGTTTTGCCTGCCTGCATATCTGTGTGAGGGTGTCAAATTCTCTGGAACTGGAGTTACAGACAGTTGTGAGCTGCCACGTGGGTGTTAGTAATTGAACTAGGGTCCTTAGAAGTGGAGTCAGTGCCCTTAACCACTGAGCCACTTCTCCAGCCCTTTCCAGGAGTCCTTGTTCACACACCTATTATATACAATAAAACATCATTGATAATTGCATTTCACTTTAAGCGCCGGTCACACCAGATAATGCCAAGTCAACTGTCTGTACCCGGAAGGTAGCACACCAGAGAGTGGACATTACAGTAACACCGAAGCCACACACGTGTACCAATTTCGAGAGCACATATGTTTATTCTGTGTGGCATTGTGACATGACATTGTGTGGTTGGTTTTAATCTTTTCTCTATTGAGGGGTTTATTCTTACTTATAAATGTCAGCTCTTTATTAGACCGTCAGGTGTTTTAGACAGGTGGAGAATCACAGTTTCACAGATGCAACATAAACAAAAGCCACACACCTTTACATAATTAAACAAACGTTTCACAGCATGAGCAAAAGTAACACACTTTAAAAGAATATTCTACGACAACATTGTCATCTACGAAATTTACACTCCAGAATTTACCAATTGGGTTTAAAAATATCGCGAAAGTTCTCATCATGTTTTACACCGAGGATTTTGTTGGACCGCATTCATAGCTTCCTAGGTTGGGCAGCCTTAGCATCAAACCACATTGTCATGAAAGTAGCTCTAGTTTGGCATTTGGGGCTCTGTCATGCACGCGTCCCCTGACTGGTATTCCTATTCTCTTCTCTCTGCTTCCCTGGGTCTGTCTTCTTCTCGCTTATTAGGCAGTAACTAGGTGCAGCGCTTCTCAACTTTAAAGTGCAAATGGATTGTTCAGGGATCTGACTAAAGAGCAGATCCTGACTGAGGGTCCCACATTTCTGGTTAGTCCTAGGTGATGGGGTGTTGCTTTTCCTCTGACACACTTTGGGTTTAGAGTTGGGGAAAGAATCCAAGAGCAGGATTTGGAGACAGCGTCCTGGGTTCAAATGTGAATTCTTTCTTTTTCTTGAGTGTGCCCGAGGGCAGGATAACCTTATCTGTAAAATAAGCAGCTTCCTACAGCTTTTATGCCAGGGTCATATCAAGCAGTGTAGCCTGAGCAGGATCCTCTGGGGGGCGGGGCTAAACTTGGGGGGCGTGGCGCTGTGACCGTGCTGCGTGCGTGCGTGCGTGCGGCGTCGGAGTGCGTGGAGTGCGTGGAGTGCGCGGACATCAGGTAAGGACCTGGCTATGTATCCAGCGCGGTCGGGTCTCCAGCGTGGGGTCGCTTGGGGTCGCGTGGGGTCATTCTTGGGTTGGGGAGAGCATTCGAACGAGACTGTCCCGCTGGCGCAGGGTCGCGGGGCAGCTGCGAGCGTTTCCGGGGCGCCGAGCGTCGTGGCGCCTGCTGGGACCTGGACTCCGCGTAGAGCCGGGCGCTCGCTGTCGAAGCCGCCTCGGGCAGCAGCCCCAGGTCCCAGCGCCGCTCGGCCGGCCTCCCGCTGCCCTTAACCCGAGTCCACCCTGGAGGACGCGCGGGCTGCATCGCCTGCACCCGGCCGGCTTCCCTTACTCCGGGCCAACTATGGAGGACATGCAGGTCTGCTGCACCTGCCTTTCAGCCTGTTTAAGAAGGCCCGGTAGTCCTTGGTCTCCCTGGAACACCTTGTCTTGACAGGAGTGCCCCTGGTGACTAACGGGCTTTATTATTAAGTAGAACCCTTCAGAAGCTCAGGGCCTTGGAATGTAACACTTCTCTCTCTCTCTCTCTCTCTCTCTCTCTCTCTCTCTCTCTCTCTCTCTCTGTCTCTGTCTCTATGTCTCTCTCTCGTAAATGTTGCATTACATAGCGCTATTTGAACTGTTTGAAACCTTAGCATCTCTTTCTTCCATTCAGAAAAGATTTTGCTCCGATTAAGCTGTGGAAGGTTACGGGCAGATGTGCCCTCTCCTCGCCCCAGCCCTGGAACATTAAAAACAACCCTGAGAACTTGTACTGAACATGACTGTCAATGATGCAGAGTACTGGAATAGAGAAGACAGCTGTTCTTCCTGCCCTACCCCCAGTTATATGTGAATTTATTTGCTTTGTTTTTAAAATGAGAGTAATAAAGTTTAAGTCTTTTGGTTCCTGAGTAATCCCATTATTAAAATGAAAAAGGAACGTTGGAGGAGGGACACTTGGTAACATAGTCCAAAGTTAATCCCGACAGTATTCAGTTACCGTCACACTTAGGCACCTTGAAAGGGAGGCAAAGGCAGATGGACATTATACAACATAGGGTGACTATGGACATTATACATTATACAACACTAGGCTGACGTTATACAACAGAAGCGGACTATGGACATTATCCAACAGCCCATCTCAGTATCGAGGACAGTGGGAAAATACAGATAGAGATGAAAATATTAATGGTACTTTTTTTCTTCTTGATTTGAGGTTATAGGGAAGCAGGGTAAAAACCGGGCTACATTTCATATATTTAGCAAGTCAGATTCTTAATTGCTGTATACCTTTCTTCAAAGATACCTGTCTTTGAGTGTTGGAGACTGAACTCAGGACTCATGCTAAAAGCTCACACTTTTCTATATGGGGAAGGAAGGAGGATTTCAGTTATTGTAGTTTTGGCATTTACTGGGGCACCACCCAGCCAGCTACTCCATCCTCGGCTGGAGTCTTGTATAGAAACTGGAATGACTTCAAAGGGGCAGATTACTGGGGTGCCCACTCTAGTCTTGCTGAGTCAAAATCTGGGGGGTGGGAAGTCGACTGCAGGGTTAGGGATGTGCACTCCTTTGGGGACCCTATAGTTGAAGTTCCATCAATCAGAAGAGACGTGCCTAAGGGACACGACCTGAGTAGTTCATTGTTTAGTTTCCAGCCCTTCAGGGAAAGGCATGAACTGTGGTGCCATTTAACAAAATAACCTTCCTCTTGTAGGGCAGTTTCCAAAGAGGTCTTCAAATGCTGTTCCTATTATTAGGTTGTATTTTAATTCTTAGGTCAGCTAAAAAGTTCATCTAACCTACTTCCCCATTCTGTATCAGACACTAAAAACCCTCAGTTCCTCCATTTTTGCTTTGCAAAAAAGGTGTAAGTCTTCTCAGAATTTCTGTGCTTTTCCCTGTCTTGGGTTCCTGGTTTATCACTCCTAAGGCATGGAGATTGGAAACTTATGTAGGAACACTAAATACTTGCAACTTTGGGTCTCATACAGAAAGCACTTAATCTGGGAATGGAGTTCTTTATAGATAAGGCCACGGAAGTTTAAACATGCTCATTTGTGCTATTAAATTTAGGATGGCTCGAACCATGGAACCGCTGGCAAGGAAGATCTTTAAAGGAGTTTTAGTCGCTGAACTTCTGGGTGTTTTTGGAGCTTATTTTTTGTTTCAAAAGATGAACTCCAGCCAAGGTAAACACAGTTCAGTAGTTAATATTTTCTAGCTGGGCATGTAGTAAATGTTAGTTGCATTTCTGGGCAAAATGCTTCTAATGGCTTTGAAGCCATTAGACATTTTTATGTGTAGAGCAGGGGGAGGGCAAGGTATTGGTTATTGTAGAGTAGGTGACTCACTTCTGACTTGCAGACTAAGAGCCTGGATTTTACTGGGGAAGAGTCGAACAATTGGCCCTGTTCTGACTCTGCAGAATTGAATGGAGGCAGTTTGGCCTGCATTGTACTTACTTGTTTGATATTCCTGGGAAGAGCTAACACTGACCTCACATCACAGAACTATTTCTCAGCGTTAGCAGCAGGCACTGAAACCATTTCCCCAACTGTTGCTGAATACAGTGTAATACTTTGTTAAATTTTGTATTACAGCTCTCAGCTTTGAAGATAGCAATTCCTACTACTTGCTTCTCCAACTAAAGCAGGGAACAGCCCTGGGGCAGTAACTTGTCTTTAAAGCTTGTCGTTTGTCTTCCTCAAAATACTTCATTAGGACACTGTTCCCAGGTGCTGCTGGATGTTCATAAGGAAATAGAGTATAAGGCTGCATTTTAAGATGAATGCAATTTATATCCTATCCTACAAGACTTAGTTCTTAGATTAGCAAAGGGACCTTAATACAAAATTCTAACAGACATTGATATCTAAATTGTGGCTCAATATGTTAATATGATTTTTTTAACATCAGATTTCAGGCAAACAATGAGCAAGACATTTCCCTTCATTTTGGAAGGTATGTTTTTCTTCAAGTAAAAACTCAAGTGCAAAATAGCCTATAAAAAGCTGTGGTATTTTTACAGTTCGGGACTAAATGACTTTTGTTATCAGTTTCCAACACTAGTTGCCTCCTAAGTACTCCTAATTACTTAGATGAGAGCAGTTAGCACTTGGTTTAATTCTTATTACTTCTGTTGACCAAACCCCAGGCTTTACAAATGCTGGGGAAGATGTCTATCACTGAGTTATTGGCCCCCAACCTGCAAGCGGGAGCCTTAATTCTTTCAGGGGTTAAGAACATAAATTCCAGAATGAAGAGTAAGGTGGTGATGGACACAACCATGGCTTAGGTTACTGTTGTAAAAGACGTTTTCCCAGGCATACTGTTTCTCTATGGAAATCAAATGCCTATCTCATGACGGTTGAGGGTTGAACAAGCTGACATCACACTTACCTAAGCAGAGCACCTAGCAGGTGCTCAAACAAATAGCTCAACAATGTTAGGAACTTGTGCTTGAATATGGAGCCCTTTTCATTTTATTATGTAGCAATCTGGAAGAATTTTTTCAATGTTAAGTTTAACTTTTGCATGATTTTATAAATGACAGCATTTTGTTTCTATAGTTTATTACAAATCCACTGAAAAGTCTGGAATGTATGGAATTAGAGAGAAAGATCAAGAAAAATGGTTGGATAGCAAAAATTAAGGGTGAGTAGAATCTTAATTTATTATTAACTCCAAAGGGCTCATTTCCTTTGCTTTCTGGATTTTTGAGGGATTTTCATCTTCTTTTTGAAATTTTTCTTCTTCTTGATGATACTTTTCACATCTCTGTTGTGTAGCCAATCATCACGCTCAGCTTCCCACTTGAGCTGTTTGAAACCTTTGAGGTGAGAGGACAGATGAGTCTATGCCACTGTAGACTGACTTCCAAAGCCCTCCTGGGCGTGACTGCAACTGCAGGCCTCCCACCCACTGTAGACTGACTTCCAAAGCCCTCCTGAGGGTGACTGCAACTGCAGGCCACGTGGCCCGTGGTCTCCCACCCACTGTTGGTTGCTCTCCTTTATTTTCTAAGATATTTTCATTTTACAAATGAAAGAATACAGAAGGATTTATACTGAAAAGATTTTTCTTTTCTATTTTTATGAAAGAATGGATACTAATACCATTGGAAATACTTAAAAAGGTCTTCAAGTATATAAGAGTAAATATTTAGCCAAGTCAAAAAAACAGACTGACTCTCCAAGGAAAAAAATTGAGTCTGTAGTTAAGTGTGGTTTAAAATGTCTTACTCTGTGACAAGCCAGTTTTCTGCCATTTAAGGACATCTACAAGGAAATACCATTTAAAAAACTTGGTGACAATTTCAAGGTGACCTGGTAGTGCACACTTGTAATCCTAGTGCTTGAGAGGTGGAGGATGAAGATTTCAAGGCCAGCCTGGCTACATAGTAAGCTTAAGGAAGAAGCCTGGGCTACATCAGACCCCACTGGGGGGAAAACCAGCTTACTTACTTGCATTATCTTTGTTAGCCATGGCGTTCATGCCAAGATTATCAAACTTGGATCCCATGTTTTCATCCAACAGATGGCCAAACTTAAAAGAAAAAAAAAAAAAAAAGGAAGGGGGAGGAAGGCCATGAGAAAACTGGAGGAGAATGTAAAGGCTACTCTCTTAGCTGGTGTATTACCTCCTCAGCAGAGACAAACAGGCTGGAGTTATCAAAGCTTTTCCTTTTCTTCTGTGCTCCTAAAAACAAGCATTGTGTGTGGGTTAATTAAAGTATGTGCCTATTTTCCAGATTTGGTTGCTGTTCAGAATTTATCCTCACAAGAAACCAACAGTATCCCCCAGGATCAAATTTCCACAGCTGACATGGATGGAGTTTGTAATACGTGAAGCAAAATATAAATTATAATTCAAGTTTTATTCTTTGAGCTTGAAAAAGCTGACTGAAGTATGTTTATTGTGTTATCAATAAACTTTTGTTTATGCTACTGTAAAAGTTCACCTATAGTACTGAATCTAAACATTTCAAGAAAGCTACAGTGGTAGAGTGGTCAGAGCTCACACGCCACTGGACTCTATAAACACGACTGAAAAGATCTGGAGACTTAAATGTGAGAGGAAGGGACTTGGAACAAAACCAAGGAAGCATGTGAGAAACAGTTTCATGTTAAAAACCTTTCTTGGCTGGGGAGACGGGTTAATCAGCACACTAGCCTTACAAGTGTGACGATCACGGTCCAGATCTCCAGAACCCTTGTAAGAACCTAGTGCCATGGCTGCAGTCTCAGATGGCGAGACAGGAGGCAGACAGGCCGTTGCCTAGGAGCTCATGAAACAGCCAGCCTGGCCTACGTGGTGAAATTCCAAGCCTACGAGAGACCTTTGTCTCAAACACAAGGTGGAAGGTGCCTGAAGACTGATACTTTAAGAAAAAAATACTTTAAATGGTATCAAACCAACTTTTAAACATGTATTTCCCAAAATAGGTTCCCTAAAATAGGTTTCATGTGGCAGATGCTATGGTTTGAAGATATTAAATGCATTTTCATACCTTGAAACGACCCAGCAAAATCAATATTATCTTCACTCTTTCTCTTGCTTTTCTTAGTATTAGCTTTGGAGCTGACTTCATCAAATTCTGTTACCCAAAAAAGTTTATTATTAAGCCATTTTAAAAACAAGCCTGGAAAATACCAATTCAATGTATGCTACAGTCTAGTGCAACCATAAGGTCTGATATGTCTGTTCCATGTGGGTTCACAGTCCTGCAATCCTAACAGAATGGGCCTGAAGGATACAGGATGCTGCAGCCTCTTGAGAGTACGTGGTTTAGTTTGCAAGAACATAATTTACTCAATGACCACTAATAGGGCCAAATACTTAAACACTTGCATAAATAAGAAACATTTGCTGCTGAGGTCCAGTAGAAGCAAGAGGCAAAGCAGTTGCACACTAGAGGGTAGTGAAAGGACAAGAGGCAAGTAACAGTCCAAACACATGACTGTGGTTGCTCCCTTATCATTTGTAGTTTACATTACTCATCTTTTCCACCTGTGCTATAAGACTATATGAATACTGGCTTTCTGGTGGGTAAAAGCTCATCACTCTTCCTCTTCTTCTTTGGTAGAGCTGAGGCTCCAAACAGGACCTCATGCATTCTCGGAAGCACTCTACTACTGAACTACACCACCAGCCCCTTACACTAATATTAAAGACAGGCTACATGACAGTTCAACTGAATCTGATATAGAATGACATTTTTAATTAAAATTAAAGTCCAACACTGACACATGTGTCATACTTTGGATATAAAAACATACTTTAAGAACTAGTCTAGGAATTAGCAAGAAAGCTATTAATTTGTGGTTTATTTTTATTTTATTTGCTTTTGGTTTTTTGAGACAGGGTTACTCTGTGTAGCCTTGGCTATTCTGGGACTAGTTCTGTGGACAGGCTGGCCTCAAACTCACAGAGATCTGCTTGCCTCTGCTTGTTTTGTGTCATCACACCTGGTGGTTTATGTATTTTTAAATGTGTACCTGGACCATCTTCAATTTCTTCGTCTGACACATCCATGAATGTTCCTCCATCTTCATCAATGTCAAAGTCTTCATCATTCATACTTCCTAAAGAAACTTCGTCATCATCAAGGTCACCAAGCTCATCATCACTACTCCCTGAATCTTCCAAGTTCTCCTTGGCTCCTTTTGTTTTTTTCATATTGCTGGAAAACAAACTCCAAACTAGTAAAGGAAGGCAGTGGTTTCTAAAGTGTGCTCAGGAGACTAAGATACACTGTTAATTAACTATGTAAAAGAACTGCAGACTGTTCAAAGCATTCTAAAGGTCAAAAATAAAAGTCCCAAGCCTTGTGGATCACATAGTTTCTATGGTCTCCTGTTCTGATGCCTAATTTGGGAAATACCGGGAAAACAGGAAAGAAAAGATTGAGTTTTACCTGGCAAAATCAATATCATCCTTCCCAGGTGTGAAGCAGTTATCATCTTCAAATATGTCTGCCCGAGAACAATATACACATTATAAGAGCTAGCAAAGGACAAGAGGGATACACATCATACCCCATCAACTGTAAGGCAGGGGTCAGGGGTTCACAATAGCAGAATAATGTCAGTAGGGCTACTTGTGGTGTGTCTTACACAGACCTATAAGCTCCATGAAATCTCTAAAATGAAGAACAACTTCAGTGTTTATGTTTTACTAAATGTAGGATGTAATTAAAAACTCCCAAGCTCTATGGATTATGAAGAAGAAAACAAAACAGCAGACCATTGCTACTAACAGAAATAGGAGACTATGAACAATAAACAGGTTCTGTCCCATCAGAGACTTGGTCTTACGAATGACACACTTCTTGCCAATAGAATTTTCTTACATTGTTCAACACAGAATAATGTATTTTTCTAGAACAAATATGAGCAAGTTACTACATGCTATTTCTCAATCTTCCACTATAATCTATGGACCAATGGTTTCTAAAAACTAAGTTCACCTTTACCACTAATGTTCTATATTTTTTTTTTTTTGAGACAGGATTTCTCTGTGTAGCCTTGGAGCCTATCCTGGCACTCGCTCTGGAGACCAGGCTGGCCTCGAACTCACCGCAATCCGCCTGCCTCTGCCTCCCGAGTGCTGGGATTAAAGGCGTGTGCCACCAACACCCAGCTTATACTCTATTAACAGCAATAACTTTACAAATTGAGTCAACAAAATCAAATTACCAATCATTTTTTCAAATTCTTTATCATCAACATCTTCTATGCTATCTTCATCTTCGTTGCGTTTCTGTTTCTCTTTAACAACAGCAACTTTCTTATAATACCTATAATAAAACACATATTACATATGTGTATAATTTATGACTAGAGACAAATTATAACTCTGAAAGTGTGTTACTGGACACTCAAATGAGTAAAATTTGTATTTAATATAAAAAACCACAAACAATAAAATAAACTTCAGTAACTCTGCTTGAAGAATCGTGGTCTAAACAAGTTATTTCTGAGTTACTACTATATTAAACCAACACAGATAAAGACTACAAAAGAATCACTACTTAAGGGGCTGGAGAGATGGCTCAGAGGTTAAGAGCATTGGCTGTTCTTCCAGAGGACCTGAGTTCAATTCCCAGCAACCACATGGTGGCTCACAATCTGTAATGAGATCTGGCACCCTCTTCTAGCCTGTGGGCATACAGACAGATACTGTATACATAATAAATAAATCTAAAAAAAATGTTAATAAAAAATAATCACTACTTAATTAAAAAAAATAATTCAGGCATGGTAGCACATGCTAATAATCCTTAAATCTGGAAGGGACCACCAGTTGAAGACCAGCTTGTGCAATATACAGTTTCCAAACAAATAAACACCTGAAGTTCCACAAAGTCAGATTCAGAAACCAAAATTTATATACTACATTATTAAAGTCCTCAAGCTGACAAATTTCATTAAAATATTGAGTAGCAGAATTAGTAATTTAAATTTCCTTCAAAAAAGAAATGGACACATAACTTATCTTTTCAAAATAGTCTAATATTAACAAAGCATTGTATCAAATATAAACATTTGGACAGTCCCCAAGGATGCTGTACTAAGTATCTTACCTGTAGAAAAACACTTCATCCACTGGGATCTGGCTTTCTTCTTTTGCAAGGAACTCTTTACTATTCACTATAGAAATGAAACATTTGATTATGACCACTTCCCCGTGCCACTCAAGCTCTTGGACTACATCTAACACACTGGCAGTTTTGAAATCTTAAACAAGACAACGGCAGAAAGAGGTATAGCAGTGTGAAGGCATGTCTGCAAGTGTGTGGACAAGTCTCAACACCCCAGACTTGGCTGTCTGTAGAGAAGAGCAGACAGGACATAAGCACAGCTGAGGAACGGGTTCTCTTATTGTTCTCCAACTGCACTCTAGGAAAGCTTCAAGAGAAACAGAAATTATTTGAAAGATTTACTTATACATGTGTGTGTGATTGCAGGTCTGCAGTAGTCACAGGTGTTGGATCTCCCTAGAGCTGAAGTTATCTGAAGTTGCTAACCCCAACCCTACTTCTTGTTTTGTTTTTCAGACAGGGTCTTTTGTAGCCCAGGCTAGCCTTAAACTTAGTGTAGTAATGAGAATGACCCGAACTCCTGATCTTCCTGTCTCTACACAGAATTATAGCATAATCTGGCTGTCTCAGAAGAAAAGTACAATAAGGCTTGTAATTCTAAAAACAGGATGTCATCATCAACAGAACTTTTCATAATTTTACTTATTCCTGAGGAAAACAAAGAATTCAAGGATATTAGCTTTTCTTCTAGGGAACTAAAATTTCTGACTTGATTTAAAGATTTGGCTTACAATTCTAATTACCTCTGAGTAATACTATTGACATTTCTGGATATCTGGGAGGTTAGGTGGAGATAACTAGAACTTCCAACTTACTTCTAATTTCTGAGCAAGATGAAGCTGGGCCATAGCATGTGAAGAGATGTCCTCTCTGAACAGAGAAGATTGGTACCAAACACATGCACAGGAGGACACTACCTACAGACAATGATGCTGTGTGAAGAAGTCAGCTGTGCATCTTTGTCTTCCTCAGCCAGGGTTAGGTCTTAGATGGCCTGAACTGCCAAAGCTGGGGATGGTTGCCAGAGGGTCCATAATCTTATTTACTCTGGATATGCTTGAAATTTTTATTATGATAAAGTGGGTCAAAGAATATAATTTGTGCTGCGCTGTCTTTTGCTTTCAGCTGCCCAGGCTCCGTGCTTACCAGCAAGGTTACGGACTGCCCAGGCTCTGTGCTTACCAGCAAGGCTACGGACATCCTCTATAAAATGTTTCCTTTTTGGCTGCATCACAACGCTGTCCGTATTTTCTGAAATGTAAATCATGACAATCTAATGTAGTTGTATGTTCATTTATTCACTAAATCCCAGCAATGAAAACCAAAAAGTTATTAAATAGAAGCATACCTTTGCCTTTGTGTAGCTTTGGATTTCGGTATACAAATCGATCCAAGAATCTCATTAGTGTGAAATCCTGTAGCGGGTCCCCTGAATACTGAATAAAATTCCCCTGAAAGGTGGGAAAATGGTGGAGGATTTATGTATTTAATAAAAAAATAACCCATCTACCCAAATATGAAAAACAGGAAAGGCATAAGCTGCTGTTACATCGCATGTGAGGCACATATGAACAGTGACTAACCCTTCAAATAGTCTTCTCATGTACACCATACTAACACACTAAACACAAATGCACACACATTTTTATCATGCACTGGTAATTGGTAATTTTATAGGTAGTATTTATAATGGAGACTATGTAACATTCTGAGAACCAAACACTGAAAAAGTAATCCCAGGAATCAGAGGAGGGAGCAGCCTTCCTCAGAAGAGCCAGTGTGTACCAGGCAGCTGCTGTTTGCTGGTGTGCCGTAACCATTCCTCTCAGAAGGAGAAAACAAGTCACTGATCCCCAATAATGGCCAAAATATCAGATTCCAGATGTTGGAAAAACTGTGCCATCAACTTCTGATGATCAAAAACTAAAATACTTACATAGTTTTAGGAGTGTTTTAGACTTACCTCAAGGATAGTCTTGGCAAAAAGGGCCACAGAAGGGTGGAAATGCTCAGATAACTATAGAAGAGAAATGTGAATGTCATCATTTCTAAGGTCAATTGTTAGCAAAATTACAAGTTGTTTGAGAAAAATCTAGAGAACTGAATCTTAATATATAGAAAAGTGATCCTCAAATATTCTGGTTTCCAAACCACATGTACACTTAAAATCTGTGATTTTAAGAACTTCCAGCTAAGTGGGTTATTTTTATATTTATTTTACTAGAGATTTAAACAGGAAAATTTTAAATGTTTATAGTTCACTTAAATTAAATCCAGGAGCTGTAGAGACAGCTCAGCAGTTGACAGCACCTGATGGATGCATTTACAGAGGTCCTGGGTCCATAGGAAGGCTTTTAGAAACCCAATTCTTCTTCTTCACTTGCAAAATAACTTAGTAGCTACATGCAACAATCTATGTTCTTATTTGTAAGCCAGGTTTGATATTTTTATTTACATGCACAAAAGTTTCTGTAAAATAAACATACATTATATTTTTGCCTACATGTAATTTCATATTAACTCCATTATTTGCAAGAAGTTTCAATGTGTTATAAGCCATGAAAGCAAGATTACATGCCACAAACAATAGGTAGAAGAAATGATTTTACCTTTCTGAGCTCCCAAAGGCTTGTATTTTCAGCTCCACAGAACAAAGGATTTCTACTGAATGGATCATATGTTTTTAACTGCTTGCCACCTAGGAACAAAGTATTTTTGAAATGCTTTAAATTCCTAGTTGAAAGAGACACTTCAAACTATCACAATTAACGAATGTTTTCAGACAGACCTAATCTTCAAAATTGTTAGTAGTTCAGTAATCCAATCCTAGGTTTAAAACACAAAGTCCCTTAAACAATTTATCTTGATGTCTGCTCTTTAAATATTTTTCCTGAAAAAACTTTGCAACATACTGGCCCCAAATGCAGAATGATCAATCTCTTCATCAGTTTTCAAGCAGCCAGAGAAAGTGCTAAGAAAACAAGTCATAAATGGTAAGATAGAAATAAAAAACCTACAGGAGTAAGTGTAGCATACTCTAGAGCTGTAGTTTTCCAATTCCTTGCCATGAAATTACATTCAGGAATTTTTTTTCTTGAAACAGATTTGCATATTTGCAGAAACCCAGAAATAAGAGATTAAAACTTTCCATTCTACCTTTACTTATTAAGTGCGTGCATGCGTGTGTACATGTGGGTGTGAGTGTGCAAGTGCCACCAGGCTGCACGTGGAGATGAGAAAATAATTTAAGAGCCAGGTCTCCTTCCATCCAAAATGTGGGTCCCTGAACTGAACTCTGGCCATGAGGGTGGGAGCAGGTGCCTTTCCCCTTCCTTGGTGAGTTATCTCACTGGCCTCAGAAATGAACATTTTAAGCAAGATTTTTGAAATACACCATTAACTGTGTAGTCCTAACCCACGCTGGCCATCCTCCTGGATAGGCAAATCCTTAGAAGACCCTTCCTGACAACAACCAGCATTCTCTTGAATCTACCCGGATGGAAATTTAAAGCTGAATTACTTTAGCCATGAGTCCAAAAAGAAATCTGAAGACATGGGTGGCACTGTTTTCTTCAGTCCAAGGCTAGTGTTCTTTCCTTTCTGGCCTCAGATACAAAGAGTGCATCCCTAAGCTTTCTCTTGGTTCTAATACCCTATTAACAGACTTCTCTTCCTCTGGTGTGTGAGCAGACAGAAGTCACTTAAGGCTTCTATTGCCCAGAAAGTCTTCTATCATAAAAACTTGCTTTAAGAGGTTTGAGAGGTGGCTCAGCAGTTAAGAGCACTAGCTACACTTCCAGAGGACCTGGGTTCGATTCCCAGCACCCACATGGTGGCTCAAAACTGCCTGTAACTCCAGTTCCAGGGGATTCAGGGCTCTTCTCTCACTTTCTGGTCACCAGGCATGTGTGTGCACGGACATATTAGGCTAAACACACAGACACAGAAAATAAAACATTTACAGCAAAACTTTCCTTTAAGAAACTGCAAAGGGTGAATATGATGGTCACACAAAAATCGAGAAGGGTCATAGAGATTGGATCAAATCAGTTCCATTCAGAAATCAAATGTCACGTGAGCCACATGTGGGTGTCTCCACATGCTCTGACTAGAGTGCTTCCATGAGGCATAAACTCCTATTTAAAACCGAAAGAAAGATTCACAGTGCATCTAGCATTTCATGTTTTTTTCACCTAATTTCCATAGTTCTCAAAGGCATCTTCTCTGATTTCCAAGATTTATTTAAAACGTATACTTCTGCTAATAAGGATCATCTGTGATTCCCTACCTTTAAAATTTTATGGTTGCAAATGTAGGTCTAATGCTTGCTCAGCACAGCCAAAGCCCACCTCCAGCACTGTCCTGTTTGCACATGCGCGCACACACTCTACTATGAAGATGAAAGAGGAAACTTATTCCTTCATTTAAAAGTTCAAGGACCAAGTCAAAGCCCCTTACCCTTCAGGTTGTCAAAGTGCACCCAGGAAGCAGTCTTGGGTTTCTCAGCTTTTGTGCTGCTTGTAGTCACCGTGTCTTCTGCCCCGACTTCCTTTATCTCCTCTACTGCCGTTTCTTTGTCTGCATCAGTGAACTTTTCTATGTCACTGTCATCTCTCACGTCAACAAAGTTTTCTTCATCAGATTCCTAAGGAAAACAGATCAAGGACTATTAGTCAATGGGAGCTGCAAAAAAGCCTGTATTCATTTATGTAGTGCAGTTTCAGAACACTCAGTTACTGCAGTTCTTGTCAAATATGAAAATACCAATCAAGTAAAACCAATCAAGGTCCCGAATACTACTCATAATGAAAAGCAAGATTATATTCTTTCTTTCTAAACATAACAGAGCCACGTTCTGAACCAGGAGATTTTAGAACTGAGCCCTAAAACATAAGCTGTGTTTTAACAGGGGCAAGTGTTACTACTATTAATTTCCATTTGGCAACTGAGGAAACAGGGCGGAAAAAAAACTACCCGATCTATAATCACCTGTAACTACCTCATATGACTGCAATTTCTACTATAGTGGGGTTTATTATGTAATAAATAGAGAAGTCAAGCAACCTGCCACCTAGCTAGCTGTACACCAGACAGTGAAATCCAGCTCTATCCAGCTCAAAAATCACTCTTAACAAGCTCCAGAGAAATTAAGTTACTGTTCGTAAAGCAGAGAAAAACCACCCCATGTGCCAGCACCCACTAGGATCAAGAAGCAGTAAAAAGCATACCGGATGATCATCTAGTTGGCTTCTTAAATCTGGTTTTGCTTTAAGGATTTCCGACACAAGATACAACGCTCCACAGATGAATGGCGGCATCTGTGTGCAAGTAACCTGAAGTAACCTCTTCACAAAGGCCTTCACCCGGCGCAACACGACGTCCGTTTTCAGAGACTTGTAGACAAGGTTAAGAAACATCGCTTGCTTCGAACATGCCATCAACCCTGGATCCAACATCTTTCTGTAACAGAAACCACCGTCAATATTCATTCATAAGATCATCTTCATTTACATGCAGTAGACAGTTTAAAGACTCCACAACCAATTCTAACAATCTCATCTTTGTTAGGGACAAATTTCCTACATATATTAGAAGAGACTACTGATTTCTGCCTTCTCAGATAAAATGCAAATCAACAATGACACCAAGTGAAAGAATGCAATAGGCAAGAAGTCATCAGATAAGATCCATTTGTGACTTTTCTCTCCTCTAGTTCTTTTATAAAACAGGGTGTAACAGTGTAGTTTTTATATCAATTCAGAGCCCCACCAGAAAGGCTACACAGAAGTCAAATAATAAAAACTGATACCCATTCAATCTGCTTTAAATCAGTTCTTGGAAGGCAGAGGCAGGCAGCTGTCATGGAGTTCTAGGCTACCCTGAATTCCATAGCAAGGAATTCAAGACCAGCTAGGACTACACAGCGAGGTGCTAACAAAACAATAAAGACAAAGCAGTAGATAAGACAGTCTGAGTTTCTGTCTGTGTCGACTCTTCTTCTAGATGACCAGAGGCAGTCTCCTCATATGGTTGCAGTGAAGACCTCCTATATGCAGTGACAAAGGAAACTGGGAGTCCTTATGAGAACGTGATCCAATGGATCACAGGTTTCCCTTTCATACACACCATCCCCTATCCAGAATGCTCTCTGCAGGTCCACAGCACCTAAAATTGGTTCTTCTAGTATTCCCTCAATCTTACATTTATACTTTTTGGTTTCCTAAAATCTGACTCCTCAACTTTCCTGCCTTTTCTCCCAAAGTCCAATGGAACTGGGATTGCTCTGTCCCAGGCATCCTTGTATTGTCTCCTTAAATGATGAGTCCAATCAATCATGTACTAAGTCTTCATTAACTATTCCAGATAAAGCTTTCCACTTAAAAGTTTTTTTTTAAACTATAACTTTATTTATTTATTGGTGTGTATGCCCTTTGAAGTCAGAAGACACCCTGTGGGAGTTGTCAGTTTTCACCGAGTGGGTCTTGGGGACTGAACTCAAGTTGGCAGGGTTGCTGGTAAACACCTTATCCAGGCCCCTAGAGCTTTTCTCCATAAGGGGCCAGCTCTGCCATTCACTAGCTGTGACTTTGGAGATGCTTTCTAATCTGAGGAACAGGCCAGGAGACAGGTGCATGTCTCTGCATGCTACTAATCAATCTTACATGGCAAACTACTGGTTAAGATTTAGATCATGCTAAGTGTGGCTTAAGTCTAAACTAATAACCACTACTTTACATTTTCCTTCGAAAGTTAGATACATATGTGTAACTATAAAAAAAAAAAATTAAAGGCAGGTGTGGTAGAACACCCCCTTAATCCTAGGACTCAGGAGGCAGAGGCAGGCACGTCTCTGTGAGTTCCAGGGCAGTCAAGGTATACAGTGAGAACCTATCTCAAAAAAGAAAAAAGAAAAGAAAGAATGGATAGATAAGTTCCCCAAGACAGCTTGCTGGCATATGTAAGGCAGTTCCCAAGTGCTTACACTGTTAGAAACTGATGAGTCACAGGGCAGTTGTATTCGCCAAACAAAATCTTAATCTAAAGGCTAAAACAGCATAACAAACCAAAACAACCCCCCCTCCCCGAAATCTGACCCTCCATAATACCCACTCTCTAGCACACATCTAGTAAGGGTCTCCAGGGGTGGGATTTCTATCCATGGTGCCGTATCTTACACACACAGGGCAAGGGCAGATGAAGCACACTCAAAACCCACTTGCTGAATGAATTACTCAACAGCTGTATGAAGAACAGGAGGGGAAAGGGAATTTCAGTTACACCCCTGTTCTAGTCCTTTACTATCCCAAAAGACTTAAAACGAATTAAGCAAAGTTAAGTCTTGAAACAGGTGTCAGGAGTCCCAACTGCTCAAAAGTCGGTGAATATTCAGTTGCTGGGGAGGGGCTTCATATGTGAGATATATATACACACACACACACACACACCCCCACCATATACACATACTCTCTATACACACACACTCTCTATATATCACACCATATACACACTATCTATATATACACACACACATCATATACACACTCTCTCTATACACAAACACCATACACACACACCCCCTCTCTCTATATATATATACACACATACACCCCCCCTCTCTCTCTATATATATATACATACACACACACACCCTCTCTCTCTCTATACACACACACACACCCTCTCTCTCTCTATACACACACACACTCTCTCTCTATATATATACACACATACACCCCCCCCTCTCTCTCTCTCTCTCTATATATATATATATACATACACACACACCCTCTCTCTATACACACACACACACACACACACTCTCTCTATACACACACACACACACACACACTCTCTCTATACACACACACACATACACACACATCCTCTCTCTTCCTTTTGCCCTATACAGCATGTACCGCAGCACAACAAGCTTCCGCACATTCGTACATCCCAGTGCTATGCACTTACCTGTATAGTGCTGTATAATACCGATCAGATATTGTCTGTTGAGAATTCATGACTTGGAAAAGTAGCATTAAAGCCTGCACACTAGTATTAAAATTTACAACATGCAACACTTTGAATAAAGTGTCCACCTGCTCCCTCACTTTGTCGTCACCTATCTGAGAATAAGGATATGCCCTGTTCACTCCTGTTAAAATGGCACTGAGCATTTTTGATTCAATGTCTTTTTTCTTGATACAAGTCCGAAAGAAGCAAAAATAAAGAGTTATTAATTTGTTAGCCAACTCACTTTCTTCATGGGAGAGGACCATTTGGTTTAAAAAGCAAATTGCATAATACTGAGCTTTGGAGCTGATGTTGGAGCGAAAGAGAAGCCTTTCTATTTCTCCACACACAACTCCTTTCATATTGGGATGCTTCCGCAGTAACACTTCTAACAGGTGGGAAGCTTTCGTGGCGATTTTGTTCTGAGGGTCTCCCAGCTTGTTCACCACCTGCATAAGAAGAGCCTTTTCCTCCTCAGGCTTATCACAGAGAAGCTCATGAGCAGCTACCAGGGCTCGGGTTTTAGTGGTTACCAAGGAATCGTGACTTAAAGTTTCTAGGACCTGCACAAATTCCGCTACTAAGTGTTTCAGTTGGTGTTCGTAATACCACAGTATGAGTCTTCTATCTCTTGAGTCCTTGTTGCCGCTGGACAACTCTTCCAGTTTGTGAAAAGGATGCTGGCTGAAGACCCGTAGCTTCCGACTGTCTGGCAGAAGGTCTGTAATGAGTAACTCCTTGAAGGTATCCAAAGCCATGAGGCACTGCTGCTTGCTGCCCTTCTTTTTAACAAGGTTCAACAGGATTTCTACAAACTGGAGTGTGTGAACAGCATCATCCTGGATCAGAAGAATCATGGCTGCCATCCTGTCACCCAGTGTCCCTGATGACACAATTGTCTTCATCCAGGTGGAAGAGCCTCCTTTTTGATTATTTGTTTTATTTTTGAATAAGCTGACTTCATGCTCATAAAGCTTGTGAGCCAGGGCTTTGTATTTAGACACTACATCCCGAGGCTGGGGCTCTGAAGAGTATTCGTTGCTGTATTCCATGTCATACCACTTGCCTCCAGGCCTGAGTAACAACGTTTGTCTCTCAAGAAATTCGAACACATCGGGCTGTTTATCTTTCTTTGATTTGGGGATGGTATTGCCGTCAGAAGGCTGTTCTGGTACAGTCTTATTTTTCACCTTCTTTTCGGATGCACTTTTACTTTCTGTAGCTTTTTGCTTTTTATTTTCTACCTTCAGTATTTTTGCTTCTTTTTTAATATTTTCTTTTTTATCTGGTTCATCTTCTTCAATTAAGTTGTTTGCATATTTGGCCAAATTCAGATTTTGAATGAATGCCTCCAATTCGCCTTGCTGAAGGTCATCAATTGTTCCTTTTTTGCCTCCATCCACCACTTCCTCATTTTCATCCAAAGCAGCCAGCATAAGGTAATCTTGCTGCAGAAACATAAAATAGTTAAAAACCATTATCATAAACCCAGAACTTCATCTTTGAAAATCATTACATTTGAATTATTGCCTGGGAAAGTCACAGATATCCAGTATGAAAATGTGCTGAGGATATGTACACTATAGGGAAAAAAACCACATCTTCAAGATATGGAAAGACGCTGAAGTGGGCAGCCACAGAAACCCAGTGAAAATCGCAATGATACATGCATTTGTTACATATCAGGTGAGCAAAGATAAAAGGCTCTGAGTGGGCAGGAGGTGGCTCATCCACTGGGTCAAGTCTTTGCGTAGCAAGCCTGGCAACTTGGGTTCGATCCCCGGAACCCACGTAAGGGAGATTCTCTAATCGAGTCCAGGAAGTTGTCCTTTGACACACGAGCACCAACACACATGCAGTACCCCCTCCGATAACAAACAAAAACACGTCACTAGGAAGTGTAGGTAGGAAAAGGCACTTTTATAGAAAGCTACCGTAGCTGGGCGGTGGTGGCGCACGCCTTTAATCCCAGCACTCGGGAGGCAGAGGCAGGCGGATCTCTGTGAGTTCGAGGCAGCCTGGTCTCCAAAGCGAGTGCCAGGACAGCCTCCAAAGCCACAGAGAAACCCTGTCTTGAAAAACCAAAAAA